GCACGCACGCACGCACGCACGCACGCACGCACGCACGCACGCACGCACGCTCGCTCGCACGCACTCACGCTCGCACGCACACACTCACAGACACTTACAGACACTCACACACACACACTCACACACACATTCACACACAGCATTTCTTTTACTTATGATTTAAGTATAAATTACATATTTCCTCAATACTCTTACAGTCAATACCATTAGCATGACATCCTAGGGATTGGGTGCCTGGAGACCCATATTACAAGCTCTGCTTAGTTTGGGCTCCAGTTTCCCACAATAGATTACTCTAAGCGTATGTAATAGTATGTTCTTTACTGTATTGTTACTTTGTTTTGGTATTGTGGAGATAAATAAAGATATTATTATTATTATACACTCCCGGACACATTTCGAGCCACCTTGCATTTTTAGTATTAAATGCCCTAAGCTTAAAAAATATGCTTGATTGATCAAAAACTATTAATGCAATTTTGAAGCTGGTTTACTAAATGTCATTTCCGTATGTCCGTGTAAAAATTTGATTTTGTGAAACCAGGGAAAAACGAGTTTGTGTCACAAGACTTGAATTCATCTTTGTCAAATGAAATTCTAGTAAAGAAATTTTAAAAACAGTGGCTTATCGGAAAAAAATGTCTATTCAGTAACTTGTATTGCCTCCAAGAGCGTTGACAACGATCGCCATGCGATTTGGCATAGAATTAATTAACGTTAATATGAAGTGCTGTGGAATGTTCTCCCATTCTTCCTCAATGGCAACTTTCAACTCCGGTAAGGTTTGCGGGGCTGGGTGATGAACTCGAACACGCCTTTTTAGCTCGTCCCATAAATGTTCTATTGGGTTCATATCGGGGCTTCGTGCTGGCCATTGCATGGTAGTAATACCGGCGTTATGAAGGTATTCCGTGACGACGCTTGCAGTATGCGTTCTTGGGTTGTCATGCATGAGAATAAAATCTCGGCCTACAAAGCCAGCATATGGCATTACATGAATTTCGAGGCAATGGCGAATGTATCTGTCGGCATTTAATGGTGGCAGCCGCGGCCCGGTCACAACCTCAAGCGCAGTTTTGCCTTTGGTGGACATCCCTCTCCAGACTGACCATAAACCCCCGCCACAGCTCACTTTCTCTTCAAAGCAACACTGCACAAAACGCTCTCCTTGTCTTCGGTAGACCTTGTTTCTTCCATCATTACCATAAACCATAATCTTAGTTTCATCAGTGAAGAGTACCTGGCTCCACTAACATGGAGTCCAATGCAAATGGTCTCGGGAAAATTGGAGTCGCGCCATTCGATGAGCTTGTGTCAATTTGGCCCCGTTCGCTGGCTTATGTGGAGTAAGACCACGAAAGGCTCGAAGCTGTTCTTGGATCTGTACTGAAGTCAGTTGACGATTTCGTAAGCTCGTCGTGAAGATAAATCGTTTTTGCTTTTCCGTTGTCACTCGAAATCGTGGTATTCCTTGACGGCGAACATAACCGCCAGTCTCTAAGTACCGAAGGTATAACCTTTGCACAGCGGAACGACTTAAATGCAGTTGTGTACTTACATTGCGCTGACTAAGTCCAGACTGCAAAAGTGCCACAGCTTGTGCGCCTACTTCAGGCGCAGTGTTCATAATTCCTTCGAGAAATGTGGTTAAATTTAGAGGAAAAACAATGTAGTACTCCTTTGTTGTTAAATAAAACAATGAAATAAAAAAATATTGAAATTATTTCGTTTTGACTTGCACCTTACGCTCCCTTATTTCTTTAAAAACAATGACGACTCACAACCTTTCTCAGTTTTTCAAATTCGTAAATTCAAATTTGGAACAACAACACACCATAATAACGGGGGAACCTGCCAGCATTAAAACTGCATAAAATCTTTTTCTTTAATAAAACAATATTTTTATATTCTAGGTCTTTCATAATAAAAATTCAAGGTGCCTCGAAAGTTGTGTCCGGGTGTGTATTATATTGCGCCTGTCACCCTGACATTAATGCTTGGCGGCAGGTAAGGCAGTACTTCCCTGGACGAACTCTTTAATAAGGAGCTCTACTACTACCAAATATTGTTAAATATGTCTAACAAACGAAATTACCAAAAATATTAAACTTATAATCAAGTGATAAGCTGGATAGTGACACAAAGTAAATCTTGAAAAATAAGAAATCCTGTGTTGCAAAGTGTATACGTCTATATTTGACAGCGTTAACACATTGCCTGCCTCATGAGATAAAGGATCCCCAGTTTAGAAGGCAGAATAATTTTGTGATTGTATAACTCCGACTTATTGAAAATTTTGCAACCAATTTATAAATAAACATTATTGCTTCCGTTGCGCCACCTTTATAATGTTGAAATACCTTCTACCACCAAAGAAGACTTTTTTGTTGCGACGACTAGTCCCCCTTGGAACAACATTCATCATTTTCATTTTGCAACAGTATTGTATCAGTATGATAAGAATGTGAAACATGCCCAGGTTAGTTCAGAAATTCATCTAAGAAGAAATGTTGTTGCCATTTATGCGGCTTAATTAAAATTATAATGAAGCAAAAACTTCATATTACGAGTGAAAATTCTACAGCTACAGCGTAGGTACTTGGGTTAAGTGGCAGTAGAGTAGGCTTGTATAGTTCATGAACTACGAACTATTAG